ACCGGCCTCTCCGCTCCCGGGCCCTGCCCCAGCCTCCGCCGCCTCTCCGCCGCACGGATCCGCACCGGCAGGACGATCGCACACCGCCGCCCGGGCTGCCCACCCACCGATCCAGCGATCCAGCGATCCAGCCTGGCCGCAGCGGGCGGGGCTGCCGGCAGCGCTCCGATCCTCCTCTCGCTCCTCTCGGTCAACAGCGGCGCCCGCAGCCTCCTCCCGGCACTGCAGACACCGAGCGCTGCCCGCCCTGCTTGCCTACAAACAGGGACCACTCGCCGCCCACACGCCGCTTTCCGGTCCGCGCCGATCTCCTGCCTCCGCTTTTCTCCAGCCCATCTCGCCTTTGACCCTCCAGGGCATCGCGATCGGGAGGAAGGCAGAGATATTCCGTGAGCGCGGTTCTTGAACCGCACGGGAATCGAAGCACTTACTAATGTCATTAAATGTATATTAAAATACATTTTTCTTATTTTATCCTGCAGTTTATGGTTAGCCTTATGCTTTTTGCTCAAAACGAGAGGTTTCTATATCTCGAAAAATCACAGTAGTCAGGTTCATTAACACAAGCGGGACGAGAGAACGAGAGCAATTGCATGCTTCTTTAAATCAGGGACCTAATTGTTACAGGCACGAAGAACTGGACAAATTATTACAGGACAAATAAAGATGCAGGTAAAACTTTAAAGGAAACTTTCAGAACATCAAATATTTTTTATCCCTCACAAAGATAAAACTAATGTGTAGAGACTCACATTTAATCAATTAATTGTAGGTGTCTTTTATTCTGAAGTCAATGTGTAAAGCATTCAAACTCCATGGTAAACTATCATCTATGTATTTCTTAATGACGCTGATACGAAGTGTTTCCAAGAAAGGAATTATAGAACCATAGCAAAAAAGTACAATTGTGACCTTCAAACTGTGCTGACCACTAATCAATATGCAAATGAGAATGATTCAACTGCTTAAACAGTCGTCTTCTTGAGATCCCTTCGCATCTCAGATCTCTCTCTTAGTCAACAGAACTGCAGAATTTTGATCTCGATATTTCCGAGTTCTACTATATCCCTCACTTTCTTTAAAAAAAAAATAATCAAATTCTCTGAAACAGAAATCATTCAACCCTCTCACCAGAGCATAATATAAAGATCACGAAGACCAAAACAGAGCGAACTGCCAGACAGGAAGCAAAAAAAGAAGCCATCCAGTCCCACTAGCGCAATCCCCCCAGAAAAGGGCAACAAACTCTTTTTGCACTCAGAATGCAGAATAGAACTTTGCACATTCGTTGCCTTCTAAATCAAACAGGGGCAGAACAAAGTTTAACGAGCAGGTCTGTTTAAAGCTCTACACGAGTTCCAAGCATATCCTGACTGAACAATGTAGACAGGAAGGATAAAAGCTCCAACAACCCATGTCAGGACGTTTCTCTTTTTTCCTCTACTCCAGAATGTAGAATCAGCCGTTCTCCTTCCACAGAACATCAATCTGATTCAATTCTAAGATCACATATTAATTGACAGAGCTCAAGTGCTAAACACAAAACCTCGCGGCTGAAGCTGAACCTGTGACCAAGGAAGAGCCAAGTGCTTCCTGCTCTCCATGAACGGGGCATGGCCCGTTCCTTAATTCACTCCATCACAGAGACAGGACTGTGCAACTCACAAAAACACGACTCCGGGAAACACAGAAAAACACTGAGAAACGCTGCCACCAGCCGAAAGGAGAGCCATAAACAAAGCCTGTCAGCTGAATCTGTTACCAAGAATACAATGAAAAACTTCCGCCACTACGTACAAACACAGATGACGAGCCTCCTCAGACAGCACGCAGAGAATACCCGGGGAACAAGGACGACGTCTCAGAAAGTTTTAAAAACAGAAAGATCTCACGCTTTACACACCTGCAGTGCAGCAGCATCGGCGGGCGGCTCTCCCACGACGACGTGACTGCTCGGGCTCGGCTTCTCGCAGGAATCGCCTCCCAGAAGCTCCTCCGCCGACAGGACGGGCACCACCGGCACCGGCGGCGGCGGCGGCCAAGCGGCCTCGGGCACGGCGCG